AGATGGGGTGGGAGGAGGGAGGGTCTCACAAGCCCCCAGAGTGTCCCAGCAGCAGGTGCTGCTGGAGAACAAAACTTACAGTCGGGAAGAATTTCAAGGCTTAGCACTGCGCAAAGCGCAGAGGCGAACCTAAGGGCTATTGTGTGCCGAGGTTCTCGCTCCCGGGAGACCACCAGTGGGTTTACAGATCAGCCACTTTTCTTTCTTCACAAAGAAGGCGTGTTGTTCCTGCAGGAGCTTAGGGACAGGGAAAGCGAAACAGCCTGATCTAATACTATCCCCTCCCCGCCCCACCCCCGATTAAATCCATTTATGACTTAAATCCCTCGTCCAGGGCGGCCCATAGCTGGGTCCGACTGCTTTACAGATCCTCCAACCCAGCTCTCCCAAATGGAACGCTTCGTTTCAGACAGAGCGCTGCTGGCCTTGCGGAGGTCAAACGCGTGCTTAGCCAGAATGGATCCATCCATTGTCCTGAGAAGTCTGCCTAGACATTTCCTTCCAATAAGGCCCTCCACGTTGCACCCGGTGTCCGATCTCTTGCTTCCAGCCAAGGAGAAATAACGCTTTGTTGTGCTAACCACATACTGCTCTGGGTCAGGCTATGGACACGGTATACACTCCAGTATCCCCTTGTATGAATGGCCCCGTTAAGACAGGAGGGAGAATTTACGACCACCACAAGCTAGGAGCAGCTTCCTTTTCAGCGAGCTCTCTACAATTTATCATTCAAAGGAAGGTTATTTGGTTAGTAAGATTTCTCTCTGTGGTGTGCGTGTGAGGCTGTATGTGGTGTCTACACATAGCTTTTTATATTACATTTGCATACGCAAACACGAGAGGAGATGCAGGGATAGGAAGAAAGAGATGTCACCTCTTAGCTCAGGAGAACTGGTAAGAACCTTTCAGGTGAACGTAGATGCTTGCAGCCGCCTCAAAATCCCTTGCTGGAGTCGGGGCGCTGGCGAATCAATAGCTTTTGAGTCAATGGGGTTGCAAGGTTCACAATCGACCTCCAGGGTCCTGGGCTGGGTGCTTGTCCTCTCTTCCTTGTGCTTGGTTAAACAGAACTGGCTGTAAAGGTGTTGATTTACATTTGTGCCTGTGGATATTCCCAGTAAAATGACATCGGTGAATTCTCAAAGAAAGTGGCAAAAGTGTCCCAGAAATATGTTGGTTGGGGCTCTTTATTAGTTCTTTCTAAAATTAATGTACAACGGTAAAAGTAATAACAAAAGTAGATTCTTAACTCTCATTTGGGACTTTTTAAGAGCATTCCGGTAACACCTGATTTTCTCAAAAGTTTTGAATCTAGTTATACCTATATTTAGATACTTTTTCTGTCTCTAGCTTTCTGATTCAGCATTGAACAATAGTTATCCTCTAGCCCATAGCAACTCAACAAAGTAGCAAATTCATCTAGAACCAGGGAATGGTTCAACTTATTCTCTTTCAATGAAAAGTTCTAGGTAGGTGTGTGCTTACAAAGGATGCACCACCTCGCCTGTGCTTTGGCTTGCTGGCTTCAATAACCGCTTCTCTCTTCTCTCTACTTCATTGGCAGCCCAAATCAACAGCCCGCGGCTTTGCAGAGAAGGCGAAGGTAACCAGGCCAGGGAGTCCTCAAATGCCTACGAGAATGGCTTCAAGCAGGGAAGGTGCGTACGCCGTGAAAAACCAGGGATAAAGGATGCTCACAAAGGGAACGGGCGGGAACAGAAGGGTCTTTCTCCCCTTAATTCTGATTGTCTCAATGGCTGACAGAAAGCCATTAAGAAAAAGTTTCTTCTGCTCCGGCCGAGAACTCTGAATAAAGAGATTTACTAAGAGGCCACTCTTGCCCTGGGGCTACCGAAAGGAGACTGGAAAGCGGGCAGCGACTTTGGGGGCTGTTCTCGATCCAGTCTCAGCTCTGGCCACCTACAATCAAGTTGCCCATCCGCTCCAGAGCGCCTGCGCTTGGACCTGCCTTGGAAGGAAAGGGGCAGCTCTCCACCGACCCGGCAAGGCTGCCCTGAGGTCCCAGGCCCGGAAGCGAGCCTCTCCCGGTCCACTTGCTGGAGACGCAGCTGCAGATCCTGGGAGTCGGTCCTTAAGTGCCCTGCGGGGTAGAAACGACCGCGAATGGCTCTATAAACAGCGAAACAAAACAATCCAAAGCAAAGCGAGAGGTCCTTTCTTGCCGCCAGTGAAGACGCAGCCGTTTCCCCTCTCCATGAGCTATCTCCTCACCCCACCCCCCGCCGAAATTAATCTTCCCGGGTCTTCTCTTGCGGAGAAGCGCGGGAGATGCTGGAAGCCAAGTCCCGCCTCTCCGTCCCCCGCCCCCTATTTCGGCGCATCCCGGTCAGGAATAGCTCCTTCGAGCATTGCTTTGCGGCGGGAGGACAGCGCGGCATAGGCGCTTTGGGTGCTGGGCGAGGAGAGGGCAGGTATGACATGTGCTGTCCCCATCACCAGTCCCTCTCCTGCATCCACTGTCTTCCCTCCAAAGTAATGGGTGACAAAACCTCCTAGATTGTATATCCCTTGAGGCTGCCTTTGAGCGATGTTGGAATAAGGGGGCGCGGGGGGGGGGGGGGGACTGCTTTAACACTGGTGCAGCTAAGCTATAATGAGCCTGTCTCGCTCATGGGATGAGCTGAAGGCAAAGGCATAGAAACAGGGCAGGAAAAAAA